GGTACTCTAAACTATGGTCTATTTTATAATTTTGGTGAAGATGCAAAATTATTTGGTTATTCAGATAGTGATTGGGGAGGTGACCAAGATGAAAGGAAAAGCACAACTGGCTATGTGTTTTTTCTAGGATCAACAGCTTTCTCATGGACTTCAAAGAAGCAATCAATTGTTGCTTTGTCATCATGTGAAGCCGAGTATGTTGCTGTAGCCTCAACCGTGTGTGAGGCAATTTGGTTAAGAAATCTGTTGAAGTCAGTGTGTCATCCACAAGTGGAATCGACTGTGATTCACGTAGATAACGTGTCTGCAATCAAACTTGCAAAGAATCCTGTTCAACATGGAAGGAGCAAGCACATTGATACCAGGTTCCATTTTCTAAGGGACCATGTGAAGCAAAAGACAATTGAACTTGTCTACTGTCACACCAAGGAACAAGTGGCAGACATCTTCACAAAGCCATTGCCAATTGAAACATTCCGGCTACTGCGTGAAATGCTAGGAATGAAGGCGTTTTGATTTGAGGAGCTGTGTTGGAAATTCAAATCAAAACAAGTTGCTGCTAGCTATTGTTGAAAATCAATGTCAAAGTTAGGCATTGAAAGTTAGGCAATGTTAGGTATGGTTGAATAAAAATTATTAGGTGCAATTAATGTGTTTTGTGTGGTAATAAATAATCTTAGTTTAATCATTTGGTTTGCTATAAATACCCAAGTTCTCAAGCATTGTAAATCATCCAATCCTAATCCCACTTCCAATTGTGAAGAAGCTTGTAAGCTTTCTTATTCCAACAGTTTGTAAATCTTTTTCATATATCAAAGTCCAAGTGTTTTGCCAAAGCTTGTTGCTTCCCTCCTTTCTCTATTTCTTTCTTTGTCCAATTTTATTTGAGAGTGCAAAGTGAAAGAGGTGTGATAGAGTTTGTAAACTTATCACCCATATATTTTTGGTATTGAGTTAGTAAACTCTCAAATACCAACATTCTTGTCCTCATCTGCCGCTCCCGGTCTCTACTTCCTCCATCATCCCTCTCGTGATCCCTCAGACGGCTACTCTTCTGTCCACCCATGTCCCTTAGCAGTTCGCAACACGTTCGATTTCAAGAGGAACGAAATTAACTCAAGAATTTGAGGAATGCGGCACCAAAAACAATTGTTCGAGAAAGAAAGAATGTAATAAGGTAGAAAAGATGTCACTCGTCGCATATATATAACACAAACCCTAGGAAAACTTGAGTCCCAAGCCACTTGGAAGTCCCAACTAAACTAGGAAACCAAATCCTACTTAGTATTTGCTTATTGTTATGAGAACAAATTGAATAATCCTACTTGGTATTTTACAGGTGATAGAATAATTTACACTAAATTCATCTAAACTAAGGGGAGGAATTCAAATACAAAATGGACGAATGCTCGTAAACAACTAAACTAAAAGCCACTTACAATCCTACTTGGTACTTACTTTTCGTAGTTTGCCTTTTTAACGTCTAAAGATATAAGATTGCCTCGGGTAATAAGATGGCTACTAAAAACAACAATTTAATATTAGTCTAGTAGTATTCTTCTTCATGTGTAAGTGAGAGATTTTAGGTTCTAATCTCATGAATGTCTAGTTTGCAACAAACTTATTCTCCAACCCCTTAGTGTATATGTATTGTTGTATCCAAACAAAAAATAAATAAAAAATTATGAGAGTAAAATAGTATAAACTGATCTTATAAGCTAATATTTTTCAATAAATATACTGATATGAAAGATAGATTGTTTTAGTCAATCATTGAAACACATCAAAGACATACACAATACACGATTTTTTTTTTCTTTTTATAAGAATGACAATGTTAGTTGGTTAAATAGTTATTAGGGGAGCAATGGTGATCAACCATGCACCATAATGCATAAACATGATTGAAACCTGTCAAAATCGATAACAGCGAGAAATGACTAGGGATTATTTAGATAATAATTTTTTTCATTTAAAAAAAACAACCTTTTAGGTTTTAAATAGTAATTATATATTAGGACATTATAAGTCATTTAATATTAAAATTATAAATGGAGATAAAACAATCCCATGCATATCCTTATTTATTTATATTCTTTAATCCTTTCTGCTTATAAAAACCATTCAACATACAAAAATTCACTTCCAAAAAACACCACCATTCTTTTTGAGAAAAACTAACGAATAGTTCAAAAAAAAAAAACTTTAGTTTTAATAAAAATGACAAATAAAGGTGTAGTGAATAGTACCGGAACAAGATAAAAATGTGATTTTTCTTTAAAAGTGAACAATATCGGGAATGTTTCGTTAAAACTTCTTTCTTTTTATTTTCATCGTGCTCCTTTTCTTTATGTGCTTTTGGTTGCAGAAAGCATTTTCTAGACCTTCGAAAACCAGTCCTAAATTGGCTCTTGGAATATCATCATGGTTGCGTTTCAGATGTTTCGGTCGGTTCAGGGGAGGAGTTGTAGCGAAAGCAATTCGGCCCCTCCATGTGAAAAATCAAACGAAAATACATGACGTTGTGAACCATATCAAAATTTGGGTGGGTAACATCCTTATAGGAAAGAACCATGTGAGCATTTGGTGTTTTGTGGCACAAAAATGGGTAAAAAGTTCAAAAATCGCATTCGTCAACTTGACTTGGTCATCTCCCACCACCACCTCCACGACGTGAGCTGGCCATGTCCTTTGTCCTTGGTCTTGGAAATGGAGGGTACCCATCTATCTATCCCTACCCAACCTTCACTTATGGGGGGGACCAAAGAAAGGGGCACTTAGTTTGACCTAAATACAATGACAAAATACTACTTGCAGCAACCCATATAATTCATCATAAGTTACTAGCTTGTATGCAATTTGTCCACTCCAAGAAATTCGGCTTTTAAGATGGGTTTTTGGATCGAATGGCGATTTCTAACGAGACGTTATTCAGTCATTTCTCACTTCCTTTGACAAATTATGTGCAAGGAAATGGAAAGATATTATCGGGTTCGGACAACCAGGCCACATGGCCGTTCGGCCAGTACAAAGACGGATGGGGGATGTTTTGTGCCTATATTCACATAGCAGGGTAGTCAATACTTTTGAACTTTTCAGGAAATGGATGTAGATTTGTGGTGCTATGCCTGTTTATGGGGTCACATCAATACGTTCTAAGAAGAATTATTTGAATATCAACCTCATTGATATTATCGATTTCATAAGTATCATACCAAATTCCATCAATCGAATCACTTTTCGAGAAATACAAGACATCTAAGTCACACAAGTAAAGAGATTCATTCATTAATAAGAAAAAGAAAAAACTTGAACGATGGTTGGATTGATGATGAAATAGAATCATGGGTCTCGAATAGCGATTCTATTGATGATAAAGAAAGAGAATTCTTGGTTCAATTCTCCACCTTAACGATAGAAAAAATGATTGAACAAATTCAATTGAGTTTGACTCATAGAGATCATTTATCAAAGAATGATTCTGGTTATCAAATGATTGAACAACCGGGAGCAATTTACTTACAATACTTTGTTGACATTCATAAAAGTATCGAATGAATTATGAGTTCAATACATTGTGTTTTGCAAAAAGACGGATATTCCTTGCTCATTATCAGGCGATCACTTGTTCACAAACCTCATGTGGGGCTAATAGTATTCATTTCCCATCTCATGGAAAACTCTTTTCGTTCTGCTTAGCCTTATCCCTCTCTAGGGGTATTCTAGTGATAGAACTGAATGATCCTATTTGGTCAAATACCGATCGTCAAACTCTTGTGTTCCTTTCATTATAGTATTTTTGAACAAGTTGTTGGCTAACTATTCCAAGGGTTTTGTTGTTGATGATACAACATAATTGGCAATTGTTGGCCGTGTTAATGAGATAAACTGAACTCCGATAAAATATAATTGTTATAAGAAAATTTAAACATATAAGATTATGCGATTGACTTGAGATATTGCTACAATGACATTTTCATGATAACCATTCTCCATATTAGGGGCAGTCATAATTACAGGTCACCGAATTCAAAAGGCAAAAAAGAAGTTCCACAGAAGACGTTACATGCAAATTTCTCTCATTGTAAAAAGTAACCCGATTTGTGGACTTGTGGCCCAAGTTTCATGGTATTTCATTTTTGATGAAATATGTTTTGTAGTTTCAATCTAAGCTGCTTCGAGGAAGGTCAGGTTCCTGGCTCCCAGTACAACTTTTTCTCCAAACCGTCTACGACAGCACCGACACAAACACATCAAATTAAAATCTAATCAACTGTATTAAAATTGGCAACGACTACAAAGACAAGAGTAATTATTTGAAAATGACATTAGTGTCCTCCAGTACTACATTATGTAGATAAGAAAATCAATTCCTTTCTTTTATTAAAAAGGAGACAACTAGTGATAAATCACGGTTATCCACATCTTTCGAGTTTAGAGAGACTATGAGAAATTTCACCCTACTCGTGACCACAGTCAAGCAAACTCATGTAGAAAATCAATCCGTTAGACATCTGCTAAGGAGTTAACAACACTTTTTTGTCCAAAAAAACAAAGAGCTAACAAAAAATTTCGTCTAAAGTGTCGTTTGCTGTCACTCCAACTCGGTCTTCAAATTCTATCTTTTAATTTAAAATATTAATATTTTGATTTATCTTATCTTGTAGGATTCAAGTTTTATTTCTCGTTCTTTTAGCTTTACTAGACAATAACTTTGGATATAATATATTGCAGGACCCAATTTGTTAACTTGATATAGGAACTGGCCTTATATATTTGCAAGGTCAATTGCTAATTTGTTAATTTGTTTAGCTGCTACCTTCGTTGAATATGCGTTTTTTTATGTGGCATAACAAATCTAACTTTACTGCTAAAATGCTACCTTCCTTATATAAATTGTATATCATCATTTGAGTTAAATGACCAAAGAGAACAATACAACTTATTCACTTATATATTGTTGAAAAAAATATACAACCAAAAAAAAAAAAACACTACATTCTTACAGTTACCAAGGGAATAAGAGCATTTACCCACTAAAGAACTACCGCCGGTGTAATTTAGACTGATAAACCGGCCAAGAATGCCACCCCGGTGGACGGCAACCATGACGACCCATATATAAACTGTGCAACAGTGAACTTACCGGCCTCCACCGGAGAGGTAATAACCCGATACCCAGGCCAAGTTACTCGTTGCCCTACCGCCGCGCCAGGGCCAGAGTTCATGTATTCACCGTAGTAGAGGGTATCTAGGGCGAAATTCCCATTCCACTCAAGCCATCCACGCGGATGAACGTGATCACCAATGAACGATAACATGTAAACTGTCCTAGAGTACAACTTCCACGGACGGCCTAGATACGTCGGGAAGCTACCCTTTGAACCCTCGAGCTCCGGAGTGGCGAGGATCCGGCAATCATGGATAGAAATGCCTGTGTTCTGATTCGGGTCCTTCCGGTTTTGGGCTGTGATCGTGTTTTTTTGATTCGCCATGGGCTTGCGAGCGTAGAGGCTACACTTTTGGAACACTACAGCCGCATTGCCAAAAATGAAATCCACTGTCCCGTAAATATCCGTTTCACGTACGAATTGGCGATTCGAGTGCACGTAAAATGTGTCTTGGTATCCGATGATGCTGCAGTGGTAGACCACAGCGTGGTCCGCTCCTATTCGGAGGGCGACGGCTTGGTGCTTGTCCGGTCCGGCGTAGTTCTCGAACGTTAGGTCACGTGCAATAAAACCAGCTCCTTGAGCAGCTGTGGACCAACAAGAAATAAATTCAATAAACCATATAATTTCTGTATTCACCTATAAATCTGGCTATGAAATATGCCATTGATAAGTCATCCACCTCCAATAATGTGATTTGTGTTGCTTTCAACTATTGTGGGACGGAAGGTTTGGTACGACGCTGTTGTCCAATTTCCTTTCATGTCTAACTGGAAAAGTGTAGTTAAATGTGATAGGATTTGATTGGACAAGATTTGGATGGAGGAGAAGATTTTGGATGGGATTACAAAAGAAGGTTGATTTATAGACGAAAAATGAGAACATTCCACTTATAGATCCAGAATAATTTTAACCCTAAATTCCAAAATTTTAAGCTTACAAGAACTCCAATGGAATAATTTAGATGCCACCTATTTGTAGTAAAAAAATGGAAGAAAAAGGCTAACATCTTAAACATGAGAGGGTCTTTCATGCAACCTATGCAAAATTAAAAGTCAGTGAGTGGTTAACTGATAATAGTCTCGAGGGAAACAGTTTATGTCCACCCATGTTAAAACTTCATTTTCGATTTTTATTTGATTTGTTCAGTCAAATTACCAAAACGAAAAATAAATAAGAAGATGGGAGAAAAATAGTGAGTGAATATCACTTCTCGATATTTACACAATTGGTAGGTTTTCTCTTCTTGAGCGATTGGGTTAGAAAGGTAATTTGGGGTTATGAGGTCAGACAAACGTCACCAAGTTGCATCAAACTGAAAGCTTCTGTTAACATAACGGGCCCCGTGTAAGTAGTAACTGTTGTCATGCATGGTAGTGAGTGGGAGGGGGCCCACATGTTATTGGTGACCATAAAGAAAAGAGGACAATGATTCGAAAATTACAACGTGAAAAGAAGACGGCATTTGACGGAACTTACCGAAAGTTGCAGTGTGGAATGTGGTCACTTTCTGCGCGACGTTTTTCCCTCCGGTAATTATGGTTTTGCCCTTCCCGTCTCCGATGAACATCAAGTTGGTCTTCTTCCTCGCCACCTTCAAATTACTCTCTTCGTACCTAAAATATGAACAAGAAATCATCCTTAATAATTTACACCAAAAGGGAAAAAAGAAAAGCGAATTGCACAACAAAAACTTACTTGCATCAGAAATGTCACGCATAACAAGCCATTTACACAATCATTTAACAATATTTAGGGCTGGTTTGGTATTGTTGTGCTTTGAAAAAAAAAACTATTTCTGTTGTACTGTAAAAATAAGCTCATTTTACTTATTCACGTTTTCAGCTTTTTTCACCTAAAACTGTGAAAATTAGCTGTTTTTAAATGTTTACCAAATACCTTTTTAAACTTAACTTTTTTTTATATACATTTTTTATAAAAGTATTTCAGTACCAAATCAGTACTTAATTAAATAAAAGTATTGTCATGGCGACATTTGAATGTAAGAGAATTTCTTTCGAAACTTGTGCATTCAAACGTTTGAAGTTTGTAGTGCATGCCAGCAGAGAGTTTAATTGACCACACAAGTCAAGTTGTTGTCAAATTACATGCAAAAATCCAACGTCCACTGTACGGTTGATGACCCGGGTAGAAAACGACGTTTACTACTAAGAGCATCTTGAAATGAGATGTTAAAATATTCAAATCAGCAGTAACAATAACAAAAAATAGCATTAATATTTTCCAACCGATGAGTCAAATTTGATGTGGTATGACATGGATTGATATATCTCCTCATTGTTGCCAAATTTGACAGCACCTTCAGATTTGTTTAATTAATTATTAAATGCTTTTTATTAATTTTTTATTGCTTTAAACTATTATCCTTTTATTTCTTTTCATTCCCAATGCAAAGAAAATACATATGCATTATTATTTTATGTTTAAAATTTGACATATCGGCTGGAGATTAAAAGTTTAAAAGATGCCAAAGTGCCACTTAAGCCTTCAAATTTAAATTTTAGGTTTAAAATTTGACATCTCCAACTCCTTTGGAGATGGTCTAAGACTTTTTGGTGTATCGAGACACAATTTGGCATACTAAGTGTCTTAAATCAAATAATTGGATACATAAAAAAAAAAAAAAATTCAACTACTTATATTGTCACGCTTTGTGTACCCGTATTCCTGACGTATTAAATTCATATTCGTCTATTACATAATCCAAATAATGTATGCATGTGTCATGACTTGCGACCAATCTCTACCGACCACCACCACACGACAACATAAAGAAGATAAAATAAAATTTTCAAGTTCCATTGATGGCCATCAAATTAATTTAAGAACATGACATCACCAGTTCATAGAAAAACAATGGGGTATTTATGTAAAAGTGATGGAGTTAGGGGGAGGATTAATAAGTCCTCTCACATGATTATAGCTGTGTGTGAAAAAAGGGAGCTCACTCAAGTCAATGCTCCAATCGATACGCACAAGGAATTAACACAAAAAGTTAGGAGAAAAATCTTTTCACGGACATAATGTTAACCTAAAGCAACTAAAATCGGTGCTCAAAAAGTAATTAAACGAAAAAGAACAACGATAAGGTTAGGAAAATCAGTTGTTTAGATCGAATTTTATAAATTATATGACGTAATTATTAAAAAAATTATTATTTAAATGTTAATTAACGTGTTTATTTTTTATTTATGTCACATAACATAATTTACAAATTTAATAAAAGTTATTCTATCTAAGATTACTAAAAGAAAAAACAAATGTTTACATGAAATCTTTTCCGAAACAACTGCCAAAACCACTTTCAAAACATAATTTTTTGTCATAAAATTAATATTATTAAAAAGTACAAAATTGACTGTATTAGTGACGCACTCTCACAAGCGACGATAGATTTTTCAATGTGATCAGCACACGAGGTGGTACATCATGTGTCACTATACAAATAGTAGGATATGTGTGTTAAAAAGTTAATAACTTCAAAAATAAAATTTTCTACCCCTTACATAAAAACACGTGATGTATCACTCGTGTTTCCGTCACAATAAAAAAATTATCCACAAATCACAAACAATCAAATTTAAAAAGCAATATAATTAAGTTCCACCTCATAATTCAGCCATAAGGAAATTTAACTTTAATAGCGATTATGAACAAGTGATTAGTTTAGTGCGTCTCTAAATGATTAATCCAAAAGAAAGTAAAAAGGGTAGGAAAAGATAGTACGAAAGTAAACAACTTTATGAGTGAGTAGTGAACTTACCTTCCTGCTTTGACGTAAATAATTGTCCGACGAGAACTAGACTCCGGCGCCTTTTTGATCGCCTCCGCGATCGTCTTGAACGTCCCACTGCCATCTTTCGACACGATAATATCCGCCTGTATCTGCGATCCCGGCACCGCCAGCAACCTCCTCTCCCTCCTACCCAACCACCTCGGAAAATCTCGCGAGACATTGGCATTATCCCCCATTATATCGCGCTCCATGTCGGAATTACCTAACAACCTCCTCCGCCTGTTCTGTATCGGGACTCCGGAGAAATCGCCGCCCCCGATCGCCGAGTAAATTGCGAGGCAGTTGCTCACGAGTTCCGACAAGTCCTTGAGCCGCTGGTCCATCTCGTTCTTGACGTCGCCGCCATTGATTTGCTCAAAACCCTCCCCGCACGTGTCCTGGTTCGTGAGCGCTGCGCTCAGCCACGTCAGTACGTCCTGTGCGGACGTGGACGTGGACGCTGCGCCGGGGATGACGGAGGTGAGGGCACGGGAGAGGGCGTCGACGGAGTCGTCGAGGAGCTCGAGGCAGTCATCGTAGGCGGAGCGGGAGTAGGGATCCATCTGGCGGTAGGAGAGGGAGGAGGAGAGGTAGAGCGCCTTGCTGAGGCGCTGCAGCGTCATGTTGAAGGAAATGTGGACGAGGTCCTGCTCCGACGCGGTGGTGGAGCCGGGGAAGTCCAGTAGGGAGTCGACGCAGAGGGAGGGGAAGCGGGTCCTGGCGCACGCGTCTGAGATGGCCTTCGTGGGCTTGCGGTGGAGGGCGGAGGAGGCAGCGGAGTTCGAAGCTTTGGAGCGGCCGGCGAATAGGACGACTGCGGAGACGGCGGACGCGAGTATGAGTGCGACGGAGAGGAGAGAGATTAGGATGAGCTTGTTCTTGCGGCTGCGGCTGGTTGAGGAGGCGGATGACGTGGCGGTTTGTGGGAGTGATGGGTTTTCCGCCACGTGGTGCTTGGAGGAGCCTCCTGGCTCCGACGGTTGGACTCTGCCGTATTCCATATCCCTTTAGTAGAACTGAAAGCGGAAAGTTTACGACGTTGTTAGGACTGATATAGTGAAATTCACTGAGAGGGAGGGAGGAAATAAGAGAGAAGAAGTGTGGGTGGGGTTTAAAGACGGGCTGTGTATATATATATAGATAATTAGGAAATTAACTGATTTTTAAATTAGGTTTAAAATCTTAAATAATATGAATTATGTGGGGACGTAGGAGAATAAAAGAGGTTGTTGTGAGGTCGATGTCGAAGAGGGGATGAGCTGGCTGCTACTTTCATTTCTACACAAACTTACAGCCCAAGAATGACTTACACAACATAGAACGCCATAATAATACCTTACTCATGATATGTAAATTGTTCTCCTCATAACTTATATGAAGAGAGCCAAAAGAGGTTTCCATTAATTCCTCCTTCCTTTCTATCTTCCTTCTTCTTAGTTTTTATTTTTTACTTAATTTTGGTTTAACTAATATTAATTTCTTTGAATATTGCTTTGAACAAGTGGAGTAGGAGGGGATAGGAAATGTCCTCTGTCTGACGTCAAAATCGTCGTTAAAGTTGAGTGCTGTGGGCAGTGCATGCATTTGGCAATTTTGCATGATTCTCGTAGCTCTTACGCTAACTTGCATGCTAAGTAGTGCGTCTTGCTCCTTTTTTCGTTATGTTACATGAATTATTAATTATACTGGATGTTGGTATTGATTAGTGGATTGTACAATTTTTTTCACTTTTAAGTTTTATCCATTAGAGTATCCAGTTTCAACAAGAAATATTACTTTTGGATTTTTATCACGGGTCCGTGAAATAGAAAAGCAATTAATTTGCTCCTTGAAAATGGATTTAACAAATTAATTTTATGTTAATTTATATGGTGCCATTGATTGGATAAGTGTGACCTAGTCCAGTACCACGTTGTCACACTAACATAAAATTTGACGGAAGATAAGGAATGACCAAATTGGTTTGCCGAACACACTTCAGTAATTAAATTAATTGGTTTTCTACTTTAGAGATCATTTTAATTATAACGTCCAATTTGAGAGGTCAACCATTATAAGAACCCTATGAACTTTATAGGGATTCTTGCTAGCGAAATAAAATTTTCACTCAAAACTTTTAGAGTACATCAATAATTATTTATATTGGATATTGTAATAATTAGGGGTTTAAGAATTGTTAAACCTTATGTTTTAATCCGTTTGAACAAAAGAATCAGGTACCTTTCCGGGCATTTAGCTGGCTGTATAAAGTTTTCACTTTCCCTACGTTTGATAAATTATAAGCTATTTTTATCTGGTAATTAAACTTTGTCAATGTATATTTTAAAAGTTTCAGAAGAGTGCTAGGTAGTTTTGTTAAAACAAATATGTATTGAAAGAGGCAGAGTTAGTCAAAGGTCCCCACAGTTTAGCAGGGATTCATTAATACAGAGTTGGGCAGTGAATTTAAGCTAAATTTTGTAACAGGTCAGCTCTTTTGAAGCCCTAGTTGTTAGACAAATAAGAAATTAATTATAATTAAATTTTCATACGAAGAATGTAATTCTATATATTGTATTCTCATATCTATGAAATTATTCATTCAGCCAAATACAAATTTCTACATGATATTAGAGCAGGGTTTGGTGGTCGGACAAGAGAAATTACTAAAATTTTTGGATGAAATATGACAAATTTTAGCACCTTAAACTAGACACCATCTGTAAAGTTAAGTTGTTACCTTGCTTAAAACAAAGTCTTACTCTTGAAGTAAGCTGCCACCTCTTGATCACTAGCAAATCCACAGCTGAAGTAACCTTCCACCATTTGTTTAATGAAAGTTGTCTCCTTTCTATTGACAGCTTTTGCTTCTCTCAGCCCATTTTCACTTATGTCATAACCAGACCTAAGAGGTTAAAGTTTGAGAGAGAGATCTAAGCCAAGAAATACTTGGAGTAAGTGATAGTTGTTGGATCTCATAGTTTAGAACATAGTGAATCTGTAAGTTTCTTGTGCTGTTTGTCGAAATATAAAATATGAACTAAACTAGGGCTTTCCAAGCAATGGATTCATGACCATGCAAGCTGCGTATAAATTTTGCCATAATATATTTCGTTCCAATATATATAATGATATGCATGTGGTTCAATATCATAGTGAATTTAGTGTTGGGTTTCCATTTATGGGGGGCTAGATTCGAAACTCCCCCTCTTTTTAATTAAAATAATAAAATTAAAATTATATATATCATATATATATAGATCGATGTGATGCTTCCACAATAAATTGATCTTCTTCTACTTGTACATTCTTGGTCTTAATAATAACAATTTGAATAGGACTGATATGTACTTTTTGAGGGTTTGAGATAGTCAAAAATCAGACGAAACACGATGATGATGCTTTCAAGTTAAAACCTCATCAACTCCGCGACGTACGTTCTCTTACATTCGGCAAACCATGTCTGCATCCAAATAGTCCACAAATTGACCACCAACTACTGATGAGGACTACTGGTGTTTAGCCGATTAGGGGTTTTTCATTTGGTCCGATTTACACTAGGGTTGCTTCCTTATTACCAACATATAACTATAGTCTATATATGTATAAACAAATGTGATGATAACATGCATGTAATGATTTTTGGTACAAGTTAGATGCATTTACAGTTATCGATCCATCCAAAGTTGATATCTTACATTGCATATACAACTTGTTTATGAGTTGGTGTTCAATTAATATTTTGTGGACTTGGCGTTTAATAGAGCAAATTAACTTGTTTATGAGTCGTACGACGTCACACGGGCATTGACACCACAACGTTAAGTGCTAATTAACGATATAGTGTCATACTTTCTAAGTTTTTATTTGTATGATTATGGCATGTTAGCATGTGACACCTCTATAGCGGTATGCGCATGGTGACATCAATGAGACAAAAATGGGGCCGCTGAGATTTCACGGACAGAGCATCTGACAGTATTAAAATGTGAGTCGAACAATTTTCTTTCTCTAGTACAAGCAAAGCCTAAAACCTCTCAAGTCAAGTACAAGTTTGACTTTTTATTCTGTATACGAAAGAGGAGCTTCTTGTGTTCTTGCGGTTTGCATGTTACGTGACTCCCGATTAGCAACTCACTGTAACTTTCTATGTCTCTGTATGCATTATCACATGCCTTTTAAGGAAAGGAAAAAAAAATTAGTTGTGCTTCGCTTCTGACCATCAAATGGAATGTGAACAATCCATTCTCGTTTTTTGGAAACAAGGGGCGCTTCAAGTTTATTTTGTAAATCTCGATTCATATATTATCTTTACAAAAATTCAATTTATCTGAAATCATTTATCCATTCAATTACCACGATGAAATTTCAATTTGATGCCTCAAATATTTTCAATTTAACTAACATTTTGCAAGGATGATCTATGAGGTGCAACTTAAAAAATAGACGGTTCAAATCATTAAAGTTTAATATGGAGTAAGCCCTACAACTAATCCCCTTTTTTTTTGCAAAAAATGAGGATCGTTCCCTTGAAGGCTCCTTACATTATGCTATTTGATCTGCACGCTCATTATGTTAACCGACGTGATGTAATTTTTGTATTATCATCACTTTATATTGTTTGATTATACAAATTCACTCTAAATCAGTTTTTTTATCACCTGGAATAATGCACCAAATTAGCATTGTTATATAGGTTTGTATTGATGAATAAAATATTATTCTATCGTCTCTTGTAAAAAAAAAAAAAAAAATCATATTCTCCTTTATTTGGTTGCCTACAAACTAGTTACTAACACAAAAATATATCGATGAAAAGTAGCATATGCTCTGAAGCACAATAAAAGTTTAAAGTAAATGTATATACAAAAAGTAAAACCAAAATGGCATACTTAAAAGGAGATTTTATCTCAAAATTGTATTAAATTTACAGTATGAAGAGTAGTATTTATCGATGAACAATTATTTTGATTTAAATACGTCGTCTACTTAATTAGTTGTACATGAAATCTAAGAAAAATGAGTTGGTTGTCTAAAAAATCCAATAGGGATCCAGAGAAAAGGAAAGATTTGACCAAATTGCTAAAATTTGAGGAGATCTAGTGGTCTAGTGGTCACACCAAGCTAAAAAAGCAAGAGATTGAAAGCCATGCAGCTGCCATGCAACTGCATGTGCCTAATTCTATGATGGTACGGGACAAAGGACCTCTTGCTCGCTTCCTAATCACATGATTTGTTTCTAATTAACATTTTTCTAGATATACATTTAGCATTATTTGGAGCCATGCACTGATTAATGCTCCAGCTTCTCTAAGGAATGCTTGACAAAAACTATTCATCTGATGCAAAAATTCGCCACTGTATACGGCTAGATTCTATGCATGGCTCGTGTGCTGCTGCCAAAAACCCCAATTGCCACCCTTTTCTTTTCATTTTAATTATTTTAGTAAGAAAAATATTGTAACCATAAAAGAAGATAAACGCGATCGAGTCATCAAAATAAGAAGTTTTTTTTTTTTTTTTTTAACAATTTAAGTAACTTAATACAGATCTTACTGCTGATATGAGTTCGTTCCACAAAATTCTCTCATGATCTGAGTCATCTATTTTTAAATATTATTATGAGCATTTTATATTTGTCAACAACACTATTCCTTTATTGATCAGATTAGTTAGATAACCAGTTAACGGTGGACACTTTTATACATAAATGAGTGTTTCATATATAGTTAGGTTTTCTTTAAAGAGCATCGGCATGGACATGGTGGAGCTGTCCACATGCTTCCCTAACTAAAACAGCAGTATGATCCGACGGTTAAAAATTATTATAGATTTTAAGAGATTGAAACAGATAGATCGTTGGATGAAATTTAAAAAACTCGAATCATTTGATCCGGTGACCTTAGTCGAATTGATCTCTTTCCCAATTAATGGAGCGTTCGTGTTCCAAACATTCTATTGAGAATGATTTAACAATGTATCAGTAGCCCATCCACAAATATTATTCAACCAGAAATATATATATATATATATATATATATATATATATATTTTTTTTTTTAATTTCGCGTTGGTTTTGTGGGGATACAATTTGACTATGAAGTGTGAACCAAACCAAAAGGCATCGAAATTATGGCTTTAGTTAATTTTAAAATTTTTAGGGCTAGTTTGAGTTTACTAAAATTTTTCTAAAAGCAAGTTAAAATTGTGTTAGTAAATAAAAAATAATATTTTTTTCCTTTGAAATCATGGATCTAAAACAGCAGAAAGTAGAAATCGCTCTACTCATGCTAGAAACCGCTCTATCCATGCTTCTTAAAAGCGTTTTTATAAAAAAAAAACTGGTGAACAGTAACAATTAATAAAACTTTCAGGGTGAGAACCTTACCCAGTCTCTTTCTCCAAAACCTGATACTTCTGCTGTGACGAAGAAGCATTTTGAAAAAAACGCACAGCAGTAACAATAAAATTAGTACAAGGTAGTTACATTGCTTTGAATACCATGGATGGATTGATGCTACACCAATACTTGCTCAGCTTTTAATATGTAAGACATTCCTCCCCGTATAAAAATTTAATTAAGTTTTGACGTGTGTGCAAGCATTTTCGCTTTGTATTTCCATGAGTTAATGGTTTACATATGTTTTAAACTGAAATTTTATACAATCAGTCAGTATGGTGAGGACCCAGTTACTTTGTTAAGATCTAGAAGCAAGATTTTGATTGGTATTGATATATACTATAAGAGCAGAAACGACATGACTTCCCCTACTTTTGCTGGTTTTAAATAATTGGATTGTTGCTTCCCATTTTGTCCATATTAATTAAGTGAAATCACATCAATTAGCAAAGCAAAAGGAAGGGGACACTCTTGCCAGGCGTTTGTGCGAATTAAAAGACCTCGATTTTACTAGGCAACTCAATTTCCCAAATAACAGAAAGTGGAAACTGCACAACGCGATTCGAGCAGATGTGGTTTCAAATGAACTTATAACACAGCGCCACGCTTACTTAAAATCAATTTGGTCGATGTACACGTAGGGAATTTCACAAGAGAAAAATTGATAGAGAAAACAGCTTCCACCCCTTGTTTTCCCTTTTGGCTAGATAGGTATATCACTGATCAGTCACAGGCTGATTAAGCTAATTAACTTCCATATAACTATAACAAGGATTAGTCTAATAAGTATAAGATAATCAAAGATTTGGATGCGTTCCTTTTGCTGCCTCTCGTGCTTGTCACACCCACATATATGCCAGTATGATGGTTATAAATGATGGAATATGATTCTCCCTTCTCTAAATCCTCATCCTCTCCATTCACCTCATATTTGAACGGACACGATTAAGCCACGTTAATATCTGAAGTTGACTTCTATATACAAAAAATAAAAAAGAGGAAAGTGAGAAAGGAAGAGACCGGAGGGAACTAGAGGAGATGAGAATTTGAGGGACGAGAATCCTTTTTCATAAATAATTGACCAAGTTGGCTTTTTTTTTTTTTTTTTAATAAGTACTTTTGGTCTGAGGACACCTCAAATTTTTGTACCTTTTTTTTTTAACGTTGGGATAAAACCGTTATCATCACTTGAAAATAATAAAAAGATAATATATTGTCAATAATATTGTGTGCAAATAGAAATAGGGAGATGGTACGTATTAGTACCAAGTTTTAATTAGTTAGTTAGAACTATTCAGACTTGACAAAACTCATGGATACAATTGTAGGACAACTGTCCACTATGTTGATTGAGAGATATCATATCAAGGACATTGAGAAATGGCTATGATTTCATAAAACAAAACTAAGAGGGGCTCAATGTTGGTGATAAGAAGCCATATAAACCATGTTATATGGTCGTCGTTTATGCGTTTAGTCATCCTCGGTGGCCAAACCTTTGCCAATCAAATGTGAGAGATTTTTCAATACCGGGAACATCGAGTACATCAAGTGTCATAATACAAGTGATTGAATACTTAAAAAAGAAATTTCTTGATCGCTTATATTATGATACTTGGTATACCAAACTTTATTCCGGACACACTAAAAATTCGATGCGAGAGAGAACAGAAGAAAATGACGAGGAAATGCATGGGCCATGCATGTTGAATTAATGCCGTAGTGGAAGACTGGAAGTTTGTTGTGCAGTACTTGGACCACATTGTGCGACAATATTACTAGTCAAACAAACACAATAATTATTGTACTTATTGGGCTCCTTTATTTTCATTACAGACAAGATAATTTACATAACATGATTTTGTATAATCTTAAACATAATGTTGGTGGACACCAATGTGCGATCGCTACTTTGACAGTTCACATAAAAAAGTGTTCTTTTATTTTTATTTATATTTTTTATTAATGAGAAATATGATATTTGAATTTAAGACGTTACGTAACATTATTAAGACGAACATCATCTGAAAATGAATTGAGAGGTATGTATGGAAAATGAGTAATTAGAAGATGACATTTGTCTGCCAATAATTAAGAAAATTGACAAGAGAAGAAAGAAGCATCTTAATGTGGAGTGATTCTTCAGTGTACTCAAACTACGATACGGTACATTAAATGTATACAAACAGTTGACACTTGAGTAATTAAACTTCTCCTTTATTATGTTATAATATTTACTGTATTGAACCGTATACACGACAAATTTCTTCTTAATGTGAACCAACCCAACAAGAATATCAGAGGGCCGAGCCCAGATTGATAAAAAAAAGTATTATATTATGGGCTCAGAAAGCCCCAAACTCAGAAAGAAGGGAGTGCCGAGCCCATATTGATAAAATAAAAAAAATCAAAAAAAAGATGGAGGTGCGGGGAATCGAACCCCGTGCCTCTCGCATGCGAAGCGAGCGCTCTACCATATGAGCTACACCCCCGAATGATAGTGGGTTAGTAACATACATATTTAAAGATTTTAACATTGAAGTTTCCCTGAGCCATTTGAAGTAAACCGACAGTTGTACCATAACATTTTTGAGCGTGAAACGCGCAGGCGGTGGGACGACTTCCATATTTCAAATTTGTCCCTTTTGTCAGACAACCAGACGAATTGGAGTTTCATCAGATTGGGGAGTTCGGAGGTCAAAGGTATTATGTTCTTAGATTTCTAGTCCTCGTGTTTTTTCCTTCCAAAATTTTCTTCTTTCAATTTTTCATGGCTTCAAATAAGTATAAAAATCGACCAGAAATTAATCCAATTTGATAAGCTTTTAGCTTCGTCTTAGCAAACTCCGTAATTTTTGTGAGTTTGGATCCAAATATGCAGGAACTGTTTGTTGGTTTTGATCCAAAAAGCTTGGAGTTTGAAGCGTTTTGTTTGTTGGAATCAGCAAACTTGGCTGAGTAGCCGGTGAGACGGGAAGAGGGTTGTGTGAGGGGAGTCTTGATTTTCATCTACATGATCAGACGGATGACGTGGTCCACTAAACAACTTAGAATATTTTTTCCAATTTCACGAAGGGAATTCCACACTTGATAGAGTTCGGGAGATTTTCGAACAAGAAAGCAAGGTAGTTAGTACTCATGATGTCAGTCTCTGCCGAATACAAGCCATGCAAAATTCTTCACGTCTCTGTACGAAAAAATGTGACTTTTACAGTTTTTCAGGACCACAAATTTGCAAATTTGCAGCGTCGCTTCAACAAACAGATTCAGAATTGTTTTCTCCATCTGGTCACGAGGGAAATTTTGGTAGTAATGCCTGACTAGGACGACTCTCACTCCAGCCGAAATCGAGTAGGTCAGATGGGATAAAAAAACGTTTTTCTCGTTTTACAACCTTGCATTTGTAGAAAATTTCAGATCTGCCCACCTACCTCTTTAATGAGGTGCTGTTTGCATGGTTAAAGCCACATGAGTACAAGTAGCAGAAGATTGTTTCACAAAAAACACCAAGGCTTGTGGAATAGTGAGAGAACAGACACAAGGATATGGAGCCAGAGGCAACTATGGCAGCTACCTGCAGCACTCATGAGGAGTCAAGCACGAAAGAAGATCATCATCGTCTGATTCTAAGTCCGGCGTCACGCTTGTTCCATTCCCCGCGGTTCAACTGTTACATCGTTATTATCATGGGACTCAAGACGAGGATCGATTCAAACGTTGTCAAAAATGGTTTGAAAGTCTTGCACAATCATCCGCGCTTCTCTTGCAGGCTGGTAAAAACAAACATTTCCATTCCGTACTGCTTGTTTGTTTGCTTGTTTTTTCCTTTCCGCATACGAAAATTACTTTAGGAGAAGACTCGCGAACAAGTGGGATGTCATTGTGGCAGTATTCTAACCTAATCAAGCACTTTCACGTGTTTAAACTGCGTGACATTGTTTGATTTGGTCCAGGATAACGCCACGGTTGTGTTCCAGTTGTAAGTACTTGATTGTTTTTAACTTCCCCCTCAGCTGCGGCATGCTAATAACGCTATATACAGTTGATAATTTACAGTTTTCTCTTGTATAAGGATGACAGAGGCGGAAAGAAGAGATGGATTCAAGTTTCGGTAAATCAAGAAGACCATGTTTTTGTTCCAACCTTGAATTCAAAAATAGAACATCCGGAGGAATTTGTAGAAAACTACATTTCCAACCTTACGGCATCACCTCTTGACCTTTCCAAGCCGTTGTGGGAGGTACATCTCCTCAACGTCAAAACCTCGAACGCAGAAGGGCTTGCAGTGATCCGGATGCACCACTCTATGGGAGATGGCGCGTCTCTCATGTCCCTTTTGCTAGCATGTACTAGAAAAACAACCGACCCGAATGAACTGCCTAGTGTTCCCACCCAGGAACGGGCGGATTCCTCAAGTGATCTGGGCTGGTTCTGGCGTTTCATGTTGGCTATTTGGTATGGTATCACACTGATAGCGAACACTTTGGTCGATATAATGTTGTTTATAGCAACACTTCTATTTTTGCAAGACACAGAAACTCCTATCAAAGGTTCATCTGATGTTCATCTAACCACTAAACGCTTCTTGCATCGGACTGTCAGTATGAATCACATAAAGCAAACGAAGAATGCGATGGGCACGGTATGTTGACAAATTCATGAATAATGCGTATACGGGCACGCTTGCACACACGCTTGTTTCGGAAAAGCTTCTAAAAACTAAAAATTGAAGCAGTGTATTAGTTTCATTCGTACATTTGTTTTTCTGAAAGTATGTGGTGTTACATTTAGTTTTTTTCTCACATTGGAACATTAACCAGACTGTCAATGATGTTGTATTGGGAGTGGCACAAGCGGGTCTCTCGCGCTATTTGAATCACAGATACAGTGAGTTTCCTTGGAATTGAATCATTAACATTGTCTTGTTAGTTGAGTTTTTGAGCAGATAATACCAGTAACATTGTTCTGTTAATTGAGTCATTAACACTTTTCTTCGTTTTTTGTTGCTAAGTTTCCACTGTTTTCAATTGTGAAGCATCTTCGAAATGTTTAGAGAAGTTCTAAACTCACGCATAAAGATTTCATTGTAACATTATTCTGTTTAGCAGGCCAAAATGTGCAAGATATAGGAACAAAGCAGAAAGGGAGTTATCTTCCGAAAAATATACACGTTAGAGCTAACATTCTCGTTAATTTAAGACCAACTGTTGGGATCCAGGTGATTAGCATATATACCATTCAGCAGTAGTTCAGGAATTTTTTCGCCACGAAAGATGCTTGGTTGGCCTAGCTCACATATACTGTTTTGTTTCTAATGTTAATTGCATAACAGGATCTGGCTGATATGATGGCTAAGAAGTCCAAGGTCAGGTGGGGTAATTGGATAGGTTATATCCTTATCCCCTTCACCATTGCTCTACAAGATGACCCGTTGGATTATGTTCGCGGAGCCAAAGCTGTCATTGATCGGAAAAAACATTCCCTCGAAGCTTTCTTCACACACCTGACTGCCAATCTCGTAATCAAAATAATAGGAGCTAAGGTACCAATAATTCCCTCTATTTCATCTAACATATTTTCGATTGGTTGGAGCAAAACTAGAATAGTTTCTAAGAATGTCCATATATATGTGTGTGTATGTGCGCGTGCAGGCAGCCGGAGTTATAGCACACAGAATTATTTCTCATTCTACGTTCTCATTCTCAAACTTGGTTGGTCCCCTGGAAGAAATTAGTTTTTACGGCCATCAAATAACTTTCATGTCTCCTCATGTTTACGGGCATCCTCACGTAAGTTCTCTTATAATTCATGCACAGAATTCTTCTTGATCACGAACTTGCCTCCGAAATCCACCAATTTAACTGCAGTCGAAGGGGAAAAAAACCGCAAACAACTGGTTCCATTTCGGATATGTTTATGTTCAATGTTGCTCATTATGCTGCAGGCATTGCATATGCATTGGCAAAGCTACGCGGATGAAATGACAGTTTGCTTAACTGTTGATCCGAATGTAATACCTGATCCTGAGAAGTTGTTGGACGATTTAGAGGAATCGCTTAAACTCATTAGTCACGCTGTCATGGAAAGAGGGCTCGCCGTGGAAGTTGTCTAGCGCGAAAGGTGGTGTGCAGTTTGTTGTGAACAGAGAGCAGAGTCAGTAGATGATCTAAGCTTTCTATTATGCGCATGGTGGAGTATTGACTTTCTGAGGTGCTTATGGACGTAAGTGTAAGCACAGCTCAAACAGCTACATGTGAAATGTGCTTCTCCTTGCTATTGTAAGCCGGGTAGTTGGCTCAACTTAGGTGTGATGTTTGTCTTTTTTTAGTTAGTTGATTTGAGCAGTCAATCTTGTGTTGGGGAGAATCGTTGATTCGCTTAGAGTCACTGTAATATCTCAGTTGCTCGAAAATGTTCATCTCCTTTTGTTGAATGCTTTGGCTGGATGTAGTAAAGGAGAGCTTTGATCTGTTATATGTAAAACCATTACACAGTGAAATGAAACCTGAATTTCTTCCCTTCACATATTACCTCTTTTTACCTAAATATGACGGGAAATTGGACTGGTTCTGTAAGAAATACTTACAAGTGATTTTTAAAAAGTGCTCCTAAAAGAAGTATCTACAAAATGCTTTTCAAAAAACGCTTCTATGATTCATAAAGAGTTTTTAATTTTTCTAGCAAACGGAGTTAGCAAATTTTCTATTATTAAGTCTTTCATTAATACTTGTACCTTCTTTTCATATTGAATTGTACTCGCGTCATATTTAAAGCAAAATATAATAAATCTGTTAAAATTCATGGGATGTGTTGTGTCAACATTAGATACTAGGGATGGGCATGGCCAGACCGGACCAAAATTGAATGGACCAGACCCGTTTGAAAATAAAACCGGGCGGGCTGGGGCGAGTAACAGAAAAATGAATGTTAGATTCGAGAGGGGTGAGAGCAAAAGTTAGTCAGTTTGGGAGAGAGAGATTGAGAGGAAGGAGAGTTACTGAGTCTAAGAATCGATGAAGAAGAATGAGATTCGAGAGGAAGGATTGGGAAAATTCAATCTGGGTATGGGAGAGAGAGATTGAAAAGGAGAAACGGAGAAACCAAGAAAGGGAAACTGTGTGTGAGAAGAATTGAATGGTTGTGTATAGAGTTCGGGCCAGGGACCCATGTATTTAGAAATTTGGACCCGCCCCACCCCGCTCGGTTTTGTGTATCAAATATATAGGTCCTGCCCCGAACCCGCCTAGAAGCGATAAGACCTGCCCCGACCCACGGGCCCAGAGCCCAAAACAATGGATTTTGGACTCGGATCAAATAAACTCGTAAGGGGCATTATCGTCTAATCACACGGGTTCCCAATAGAAGTTGGACTTGGAGTCTTGGAGTGTAGGACACGAGCTTCTGGAACTCTCTGCTCATCTCACCGACTGTAGCACGCAGTATCTATACACTAACTCCATCCTCCTCCCAAAACGCAAAAGCTTAAACCCTACACTGTACGCACACCAGACCCTCGAAATCGAAAGGCTCCGCTCAAATTCCCAAACTTTTATCGATTCCATGGCGATAATCTCCGACATCCAGGAGGAACAGAGCTCGCCCGAGACGAAGCCTTCACAGGCGTCGGCGGCGGCGTCGTCGTCGTCGTCGAAAGCGGCGACCTTTACCGCGAAGTTGGATCGCTCGAACCCTCTAGGGTTAGTGGAGAAGGTGTTGGAATTTCTTGCTAAGGAGAGCGATTTCTTCAAGAAGGAGACGGCGGAGAGGGAGGTCGCATCGATCGCGCGCGCCTTGAGGGAGAAGGAGAGGAAGAAGGAGGAGGAGGAGAGGAAGAAGGAGGAGGAGGAGAGGAAGAAGAGGAGGCAGGCGGAGGAAGAGAGGAAGAAGAAGGCGGAGGCGGAGAAGAAGTCGAGCGAGGAGCCGAAGGCGGAAGTTAAAAAGGAGGAAACTGTGGAGGAGGGTAAGAAAGAGGAGGAGAGTGGCTTGAGAGGTACCAAATCTTTTTCCTTTGCTTTAAATTTGATTAGAGTTCCACTTTCTTTTAGGGTTTAGTAATGATATATCTGAAATTTTAATTCTTTTATACATAAATTAAAAGGGGCGACCCCAAGCTAGGAACGTCTATCGTTCGCAGCCTTATCCTTGCTTTCAATGGAATAATGTGTCTTTGTTCTGTGAAAGATAAAAAGTTTGAATCTTTCAACCAATTTGATATGATTGTTCGCCAATGCCTGTTGGGATACAAGTGTTTTGGATATGTGTAAATTCTTGTTTTTCCTATTTAACACAAATCGATTTGAACAGTTCCGAACAAAGGGAATGGGCTGGATTTGGAGAAATACTCCTGGACGCAGAGCCTACAGGAGGTTAATGTTGTTATTCCCGTGCCGACTGGAACTAAATCTAGGTTCGTTGTGTGTGAGATCAAGAAGAATCATCTGAAGTTTGGACTGAAGGGGCAGCCTCCGATCATCGATGTAAGTCTTCTTTTGGATGGTTATTGACTTTTGAAATTAATGTCTATGAAACAGATTCCTAAAAAAAAAGAAAGAAAAACAATTAGATTTAGTAGGAAGATGGTTGTTCATGTGACTGATTTGAGACAACGGATGATTATCTTGTATATTCCGTTTAGTTTATGTTTCCATCGACTAAAGTAAGCCCTAATACTTGCAGGGTGAACTTTTTCAAGCTATCAAGCCTGATGATTGTTACTGGAGCATAGGTATATCAATTAACACTGTTCAACTTATTACTTATCATTTTGCTTATGTACAATGGAGTATAACACGCATTGAAAAATGTATCACTTTTCTAAATAGATAATAAAGTCATAATTACTTGGTGAATTGATCACATGGTGCTCTGTGCTTTACTCTTCAAGAAATTTTAAACACGTCGGAATGTTTAGCAGGGTTCCATGGTTATGAGTTTCACTCGATTTCCGCACTTGGTTTTTTAGGACGTAGTGTCTCGTAAATGCATGTATCATGTTTCTCTGATTTTCCTAATTGTAATCCATGGGTTTTTGAGCATATGAGCTAGTTGAATGCATAATATCCATGCTAATTGCAGAGGACCAGAATGCCGTCTCAATTCTTCTGACCAAGCACAACCAAATGGAGTGGTGGAAAAGTCTGGTGAAAGGGGATCCTGAGATCGACACTCAAAAGGTTGAGCCTGAGCCCAGCAAACTGTCTGACCTGGATTCTGAAACGCGCCAGACTGTTGAAAAGATGATGGTAATTCTCCCACTTCTGCTTTTCTCTGCATTTTGTTTTTCGCTGCTAGTAGTTATTAACCGAGGAACATCAGTGAAAGGCATTTTACTTGCTGTTTGGTCCGCCATGAGTTTATATGTTCACCATTCATGTTCACGTCACTGCCTATTTGTACATTTTGTTTCTTCATGGTTACTAAGAGGTGTATGTTTTGATTTTACAGTTTGACCAGAGACAGAAGCAGATGGGGCTCCCCACTAGCGAGGAGATGCAAAAGCAGGAAATCTTAAAGAAGTTCATGTCCGAGGTAATTTCTTGAGGCTCGTCTATGCTACTCATTCAATCAAGAAGGTTCCCTTTTGCAACCGGTATGCAAATTTGCTTACACTATTTATGTATCGTTCTGTTGCAGCATCCGGAGATGGACTTCTCAAGGGCCAAGATACAGTAAATCTGAGTTGTTCAGTTCGCAGACAGCTATTAACATTCGTGTTTGATCAGAAGGGAGAGAGGAAAAAGAACTTCGTTCAGCTACTGCTTAATATTGTTTTAGAAAACAAATGGATGTCATCGGTGTGCTGTCTTTTTACGGGTGTTTAGGGTGTCTAAATTGGCTCGAACGCTGTTAATATCGTGGGATCTGGTTCATTTCTGGATAATAGTTTGATTAGCATAACTTCTTGGTTTCCCTGCACATTTTATCGTTCGAGTTCGATTTGTTGCTTGAAGCGATTTCTTAGCATTGTTTTGGCAACAAGAGAGCCTGGGCTACCTGTAGCGTTGCCCTCTCCGCCTTTTTCTTTTTTGCATCTCTACCCCAGAAATAAGGCCTTTCTGGTGCATTTTGGGTCCCAACCCTAAACAATGAGGCTAAATAGACTCTTTTGGGCCTATCCTATAGGAGGTAACTTAAGACGCCATTTTCAGTTTTTTAATATTATGATTTAGTGATATTTGTCTTTACTCATAAGTAAAAGATTTTAGGTTTTATTCTTGCCAAATACGAGTTTGAACCATATTATTGCGAGATCACTGTGAGATTTAGCTCACTCCACTTTTTTAGTGTAGAGAATATTATTCATTTAAAAAAAAAAAAGAAGCTATTTGCAAATGGTTTGTAGGTCAAGTGGCTTATGTAGCAGGATGCGATGTCGTTTTGCAGTTGTATTTTTTTATTTTTGTCAAACAATAAATTTTGTTAGATTAATACCGATAAGGTTTAAATTTACGTCGTGAAGCAAGAGTTTTAACATTTTTTTTACCATTGTGGTAGAGGCCATTTTGCGGCTGTATTTCAGTCCGAATTGTAAGTTCTCACATGATTGTGGTTGCTTAATATTATTACAACAGTGTTAACTTAAAGGGTGAGTTTCTGCATCCAAGGTTCTGTGAAGTCGGGGAGGTCCAACCCCAAATGTCCGTTCTCCGTATACATGTCTTCTGACTTGGTGCATTCTTTGCGGTGATATCCGACCTAATTGTGCCATTTGGCATTCAAGACTTTGAGACGTGGATGCCTTAAAGTTTAGGTAGGGAATCTTTTCTGCAACGTTCTGCCATTTGGCATTAAAGACTTGCAATGGATGCCTCAAGGGTTTAGGGAGGTAAGCTTACGCGTTTTCTATGGACACGTCGAATTATTATGCGTTTTAACTTTTTAATGCAATGAGAAGCAAATAAATTATGCAGTTGTAGGTAAGCGAGCGAGGGACGTGTCGAAATTGTTCGACTTGGTCCCACGCTCGAGTATCCTTTTGACTTGAAATGTACCAGAGGGCACCGCAAGCTGCCACGTGCCCATAAATGCAACTTGGGTCACTCTCGGCTGTCCCTTTCCTTTAAAAGGTCGTGGGATCCCCCACAAATTGTCCTGTTGTGAGGGAGGGAGGGAGGTCACGTAACCCTATGGCCCCTAGAAAAGGACCCCCTTGTTTTATACTCTATTCATCCCTTTTGGGTTTGGGAGGGAGAGAAGGGACTTGCTCAATCGGGAGGACTTTGTTCCCCGCTACGACAATCACATTTCGCATGGTCCTCTGTGTCCCTTGTTGTGCTGGACATCCCCAACTGAATAGTAGTGAGCGCATGCCTCTCTGTATTGTTGTGCATCTTTTCTTTGAATTACGACGCGTGCATTTTTCAGTTTTGGTTTGACATGTTAGTGTTTTTGGAAAGAGTTAATATCTCCGTTACTTAAACCCTTGCTAGTTGCTAACCTGTGCCCTTGTTAATATCGAAAGATGATATCACAGGTCGTGTTACAATTCTAAATTGTGTTAATTAGGGTTGATGCCACTTGCAT